TTTGACCGGTAAACTGCCCCTCACCGTGTTTTTTTTACTGGAGTGACCTCTCCAGGGGCGAGTGTGGATAGAAGAAAGAAGCCAGGGGATGCCCAAGCAGCTGGCTGGTGAGACTGAGCTTCGTTTGGCCTCTACCCGTTGACCTTTCAGGCATGATTGGATCTCCGGCTGTGAAAAGCCATCGATTTACTCTTTCATACTCGATCATAAGAATTATAGAATATAACAGGGACATTCGGGGAAAGCATGATTATTATAATTTTGTAGGCATGTCGTGAAAAAGGAATTTTCAAACATCTTCTAACCACCATGAAAAGCATACATGAAATTGCCATCATTTACTTTGATAGCATACGAAAACACAAAAACTGATACCACGTGATGAGATAAGGAGCAAAACTGTAGCATAGACATTTTGAAACGACTCTTTTTTGAAAAGTAAGACATTATCACGTAGCGGAAAAATATTTTAGTTTTTATGGCGGAAGAGCTGGGTTTGTTTAAACCACCTGAACGAAATTCGGGGTAAAAAGGGGATTGGGGGCAAAATGTAAAGCAAAAATATCTGTTGTTTTTGGCCAGTTACTGTTGTTTGGTACAGCTTGCCCTTAGACCAAACGAAGATTGCAAGTGGGCTTTTAAGCCAGTTAAAACCGGTAAAATGGTCATGAGCACACCAATTCTACAAACAACGCTTTTATTGACCTGCTAACAACATCCAAAACACATTCATCTCATGTGCGTGAAACAATGTCCATTGATTCATATCAGCACGTGACAGACAAATGGCGGGAAAGCTAGGGTGTGAAGCAGCAAACACGTCGAGTTCAGTACTGCAATAATACAGTGATTACTCATGAGTAGGGCGTTTTTAAATTAATATTTGGTCACGTTCGTTCCACCCAAACCGACTCCACAAGTGAAGTCATCAAAACATTCGCTTGCACAGCGTGGTGAGCGTGAATGATAGGGTTAACGACGATACAACCATCATAGGTCACGGAGCTTACAAAGCTGTTTAGCTCAACGAATTTCAAACTTTGATTGGCGTACACCAGGTTATTTATTCTATTCAGCGAGGAATAATAGTTGGCAGCCACAAAAGTTGCATGAGAGTATTGGAGGATTTGATTCAATTTCATACGGGAAATTTATAGTGTAAATGGAAAACCGAAGACAGTTTGATCAGCTGTCGAGTGGCCGAGTTGGTACCATGTTTGCGTTCTACCCAGGTTCGATCGCCAGTTGGATCGAGAGATTTGCGCTGTGGACGAGACCCAACCAAGCTGAAACAACAGCACGATGCTTCGTAGCTTTTCAATTAACGTTTCATTTTCTCTATACAAGACGAATTTCCTCTATGAAAGACAAAAATCAAAAAGATGTTTAAACAACGGAAAAACATGCACAAATACATAGATAAATACACACAAACCTTTGAGCTTTCAGATCCTTGTCTTCGTAATCGGAAACGGGAACCAAGTAAGGAGGAAGAACTGGGTCGATTGCCAGTAGAATTAGTCGACGGAAGGGGATGCACCGAATTTTCTAATCCCACATGGGTATCTCGGGACAAATCCATCAGACCAGAAACGGCCACATCATCATCCATATCGACGGCGTACGAGTTTTCCGGCAGACTGAAGCCTAAAATCTCCAGCAGCTTGAGAAGAGGAAGTAAAATAGATACATATTTACGTTAGTAGAAAACGCTGACTAGGAGACTGGCTCTCATTAGGCTCGCTGGCTGGGGACCCCGAAATTATAATCACTGGTGGTTAGAGACACTGAGCGATATGGCTGGGTGTTGCAAACAGTGGCGCTCATGCATCTAGTCACTATTCTTGTAACTTCAGTCTATGTAAATGCGTTATCTTCCGCTTGAATCTGCTGTCAACATTATAATCATCATTCTGCTGCTTTATCCAAATGAGCAACCAAAAAACAGCAACCGAAACAGGCGCACGAAAGTGCATGGTTATAAGTTATAAGAACTGAACTAGTAGAAAATGTGGTCAGTACTGCTCTTACTTGAGGGGTAATATGTTAGCACAAACTATACTTGTCATCTAGACGAACGATATGAATATTCACCTGATAGGTATACACGAAAAGATGAATGGCTAGACAAAAATTACCGAACTAAAACTTTCATCGTTTCTTCCTAATGCAAGAAGAGATAAAGTTAGGGAATATTTTAATGTTTTCATGCATTCTCCAATCTCAAATGAATAGATATGTATAGTATTGATGACCAAACTAAACAAAGGTGACAAAAGAGAAAAACTATACTGTTCAACGAACAAACAGGGTGTTCAAAGTCCGTTCAGGAATCACCTGCTCTATCTTCGGTGGTATGCAGATACCCTTAGATGCGACATCATATCACTTTACGTGGTTCTACAAAACAAATCCCAATGACTTCTGTGTAACTGAAATATCTGTTGATAGTGGATTCAGTCCTTCTACGAAGGATGTTTGATTGAGTAAGACGCGATACCATACGGTACGAGTGTTGCAGCATTTATCGGAAGCCAAATGAGATTATCTGAAATAAACACGTTTCGATTACAATCTGATGATTTCCGATATGCATAGGAGCCGGTGGGAAATCAAGTTTGATATAACTGATAGTCACTGTGACTTCGCAAATCAAAGGGCGCGCACAATTTGGAGACTGGAGTGGAATGAATACGGAAATGAAACAGTGAGTGATACGTTGCCAAAGTAGGACAATTTGGTACCGTTTCCAAATTTTCACACCAAGGACATGTTAAAACAGGTATCAGACGCCACAACGTTTTTCATACATTCGGAACGAATGAATCATCAAGGAAGGATCAAGAAACATTGGTTCGTAAACAAGAGGATTCGAGTACAAGTGGATCCGACTGCTGATGCGTCAAGGCTGCGTGGATTCAGTGAATGGGGCTGCAGGGTGTAACCATCTAGAACTGTGCTCACCACTCCCAAGTTGCAGGCGGGACTGCCTTTCACAATCAAACGACTTGAGTTTTGTAAACGGTGACCTCCGGTTGTAATCCTGAACTGTGATTACACATATCACCTGGCCTGGACGCGAAAGAGCAACATGGGTGAACGGTATTTGAAAATCCGGGAAGTACACTGTTTGGATATCGAAAGGAGTAGACAAGCCAACATTAAAAGCTTTCGGAGGGACCGAAATGACAGGAAGAAACCGGTACATATCACCGTCTATGCCGTAGTGATTGGCCTTCAGCGGGAATCTAAAGGTTACAACGAAGGAAACGCTTTGCAACTTCATAATCCCTGAACCAGAAGCGTTCAAGTTTCAAAAAGTACATGTAGA